GTCTAATGCACTCTGATGCTCTGGCATGGCAGGTCAGCAAGCCCAGATCACAATCAACAGGTTGCCGGCCCCAGGCATGCACTTCCATGGTTAGAGGTCGAGGATCACATCAGAGAACTCTGAGGGCCACAGGTTAAGCATGCCTGGTGTAGATGTACGTGCAGTGCAGGGCACCTTGCATGTCTTACTATTCACCCAATGGAAGGTGCAGTTTGCTAATTAGGATTTCCTTTTACATAGAATAGGAAATCTAAATCCATTAACTAAAGTCTCAAATAAGCTCTAACATGTTAGCACCTGGTGATCCTGCCAGCAAAGTTCTTGTTCAGGCACTTCCTGACTTTCTGTTATGCGGTGACAACCGTCTCCCAGCTTTGCTCCTGCATTGTCACCCTATTACACGACCTCCTGGATCCTGGAGGAGACTATAAGTGACCATGTAGACACAAAGGGGTTTATTTACTAAAGCTGGAGAGTCCAAAATCAGACTCCCTTCTGTATAGAAACCAATCAGCTTCTAACCTCAGCTTGTTCAATGAAGCTTTGGCAATGAAACCTGGAAGCTGATTGGTTTCTATGCAGAAGGGAGTCTGATTTTGGACTCTCCAGCTTTAGTAAATAAACCCCAAATTGCCCAGGCATGGCCCAATGTTGTTAATATCATCCTGTCCAGAGCAATAATGTGAAGTCAATGCTGGAGCGAGTTAATCTAGGTCATGGTATAACTAATAGTATATACTGTAGTGACATCTAGCTGGACTTGTTCTGTAATGTAGGAAGATGTTTGTCCAAGTAGTTTTCAAAGTGATCAGAAACATCAGATGCAATGAGGAAGCATAGTGAAAGGTCTTCAATAATACAGAACAAGTCCAATTAAATGTAAATAAATAATACAAGCTACCCTTATTGTTAATGATTGTGTGCGTTATAAATATTGTCCCTGTGTATAATTTGTAATTTATCATGATCATGGGGGCAGCTACAATTGCTCAGTACACATTCAGGCTCTTCTTCCTTCTTCATGATACCTTACAGTGGCTGTGCTGTACTGTTTTCTTTCTGCTCAGACAGTCTGAATACAGCAATCCATATCACAGCAGGCTTGGTCCACTAGAGAGAGAATCTAACAATATGTTCATATTATACAATCAGCAAAACATGGAACTGTTTATCAATAAGCATTTTTGTATTACCTTTGGCAACTTTTTAATAATAAAATGAAATCACAAGCATGGAAAAAGTTGCACTGTAAATTCCTTTCAGCTAAAATATTGAAAAATATATTAAAAAACCCACCCTACTGTGAGCCCACACTGTCCTCCGAGTATGGAGTGCACTCCATAGCAATGAGACCAGTCATAGGAGCTGTGATGAAACGGTGGATGGTGCCCCCAAAGCGTAACTTCTGTCCAAAATATCACCAGCACACCATGTTCAGATAAAACAATCAAGTTGTTTCTCAGTGGAGAGAGGGAAAACACAGTGGTGCCGCTCTAAGTGTATAAAACCAAGCTATTAAATGAGTTAAAAAACTCTCAAACGTAGAATCTGAGATAGCATGTCTTTATGCTGTGTGTCCCGGCTGTAATGGCTGGATCCTATGTGATCCTCCTCATCCTGGCCGCTCTGGTGGTGTCCAGAGGCACAGGGAGGCTGGCAGCTGATGATGTCACCTGGAAGACTGTGTGTGGGCCGTTCTCCATCCAAGGAGCAGCTTATTGCCTTTGGAGATCATATTAGAATTTTGGGGCAGACTAAATCAGGTTGTCTAAAGGGTTTATTTCTACCTTCTTCTGGATCAGGTTGTCTGAGGGGTTTATTTCTACCTTCTTCTGGATCAGGTTGTCCGAGGGGTTTATTTCTACCTTCTTCTGGATCAGGTTGTCCGAGGGGTTTATTTCTACCTTCTTCTGGATCAGGTTGTCCGAGGGTTTTTTTCTACCTTCTTCTGGATCAGGTTGTCTGAGGGGTTTATTTCTACCTTCTTCTGGATCAGGTTGTCCGAGGGGTTTATTACTACCTTCTTCTGAATCAGGTTGTCCGAGGGGTTTATTTCTACCTTCTTCTGGATCAGGTTGTCCGATTGTTTTTTTCTACCTTCTTCTGGATCAGGTTGTCCGAGGGGTTTATTTCTACCTTCTTCTGGATCAGGTTGTCTGAGGGGTTTATTTCTACCTTCTTCTGGATCAGGTTGTCTGAGGGGTTTATTTCTACCTTATTCTGGATCAGTTTGTCTGAGGGGTTTATTTCTACCTTCCTCTGGATTGGGTAAACTGAAGTTTTGATTTCTACCTTCTTCTGGATCAAGCTAAGGTTTCATTTCTACCTTCTTCTGGCTCAGGTTGTCTGAGGTTTTATTTCTACCTTCTTCTGGATCAGGTTGTCTGATGGATTTTGTTCTTCTTTCTTCTGGATCAGGTAGCCTGAGGTTTTTATTTCTTCTTTCTTCTTGATCAGGTTGTCTAAGATTTGTATTTCTTCTTTCTTCTGGATCAGGTTGCCTGATGGATTTATTTCTTCTTCCTTCTGGATCAGGTTGTCTTAGGGGTTTATTCTTCTGGATCAGCTTACCTGAGATTTTATTTCTACTTTCTTCTGGATCAGGTTGTCTGACGGATTTATTTCCTCTTCCTTCTGGATCAGGTTGTCTGAGGGGTGTATTTCTACCTTCTTCTTAGTCAGGTTATCTGATGGATTTAGTTTTTCTTTCTTCTGGATCAGGTAGTCTGAGGTTTTTATTTCTTCTTGATAAAGTTGTCTGAGGGGTTTATTTCTACCTTCATCTGGATCAGGTTGTCTGAGGTTTTTATTTTTTCTTTCTTCTGGATCAGGTTGTCTGGTGGATTTAGTTCTTTCTTCTGGATCAGGATGTCTGAGGTTTTTATTTCTACTTTCTTCTGGATCAGGTTGTTTGAGGGGTTTACTTTCTCTTCCTTCTGTATCAGGTTGTCTGAGGGGTGCATTTCTACCTTCTTCTGGATCAGGTTATCTGATGGATTTAGTTTTTCTTTCTTCTGGATCAGGTAGTCTGAGGTTTTTATTTCTTCTTTCTTCTTGATAAAGTTGTCTGAGGGGTTTATTTCTACCTTCTTCTGGATCAGGATGTGTGACGATTTTATTTTTACTTTCTTCTTGATTTGGTTGTCTGAGCCTCAAAGTAGGAATAAAAACCTCAGATAACCTGATTCAGAAGCAAGTAGAAATAATACCCTCAGATAACCTGATCCAGAAGAGGGTAGAAATAAAAACCTCAGAAAACTACATCCAGCAGAAGGTAGCAATAAACCCCTCAGACAACCAGATCCAGAAGAAAGTAGAAATAACACCCTCAGAAAATGTGATCCAGAAGAGGGTCGAAATAAAACAATATTGACTACCAGATCCAAAAGGTAAAAATAAACTCCTCAGACTCTGAGGAGTGTATTTCCACCCTATTCTGGATCCAGTTTTCTGTAGTTTTTATTTCTACCCCAGGGGCGGACTGACAACTCATGGGGCCCCCAGGCAATAGGGGATCATGGGGCCCCTGTGTCCTTGCCCACACTCAAAAAAAGCCTATAAAAGGTACCAGGGGCATCTCATGGGGCCCCCTACTGACCCCGGGCCCTTGGGCAGTGCCCGAGTTTCCAAATGGTCAGTCCGCCCGTTCTACTCCCTTCTGGATCAGGTTTTCTGTAGTTTCTATTTCTACCCCCTTCTGGATCAGGTTTTCTTTAGTTTTTATTTCTACCCCCTCCTGTATCAGGTTTACTGTACTTTTTATTTCTACCCCCTTCTGGATCAGGTTTTCTGTAGTTCTATTTCTACCCCCTCCTGGATCAGGTTTTCTGTACTTTTTATTTCTACCCCCTTCTGGATCAGGTTTACTGTAGTTTTTATTTCTACCCCCTCCTGGATCAGGTTTACTGTACTTTTTATTTCTACCCCCTTCTGGATCAGGTTTTCTGTAGTTTTTATTTCTACCCCCTTCTGGATCAGGTTTTCTGTAGTTTTTATTTCTACCCCCTCCTGGATGAGGTTTTCTGAGGGTTATTTCCAGCTTCTTCTGAATTAGGTGGGGTTGTGAAGATTCACAGACATTTTTTCCAATCCATCAATCCATGCACCAGGGTAATACAGTGCCTTGAAAAAGTATTCATATCCCTTGCAATTTTCTACATTTTGTCATATTACAACCAAAAACGTAAATGTATTTTATTGGGATTTTATGAACACAAAGTGGCTCATAATTGTGAAGTGAAAGGAAAATGATAAATGATTTTCAAAATGTTTTACAAATAAATATGTGGTGTGTATTTGTATTCAGTTCCTGTTACTCTGATACCCCTAACCAGGGGTGGACTGACAACTCATGGGCCCCCCGGGCAACGGGGGATCATGGGGGCCCCTGTGTCCTTGCTCAAACTCAAAAAAAGCCTATGAAAAAGGTACCAGGGGCATCTCATGGGGCCCCCTACTCACCCTGGGCCCTCGGGCAGTGCCCAAGTTTCCAGATGGTAATTCCGCCCCTGCCCCTAACTAAAATCTAGTGGAACCAATTGCCTTCAGAAGTCACCTAGTTAGTAAATAGAATCAAATAAGTGAATAGATGTAATGTAATCTCAGTATAAATAAATGTGTTCTGTGAAGCCCTCAGAGGAACATTAGTGAACACACAGCATCATGAAGGCCAAGGAACACACCAGTCTTTTGTCTGTACGTCAGATTAATGACATATCAAAGCATAAACATGTCCATGGGAAAAGAACAAGCTCGTCTTCCGAGTTCAATGAGCTCCGTGTGACGGGACAGGAGGGAGGCAGGGAAGCAGAGCACACAGGCGGAACACAAGCAGGCATGACGTGCTCTAGGGGGAGGAGCTACACTGACATTAGTGCAGTGAGCCTGTGTTCTGCCGGTATTTGAAGTGAAATCGTGGAACAGATCGTGCGATCCCGGGATCTGTAGATACATTGTGACATTACACGGACCCCCTCCCCCTCCTTGTGGATTTGTTCGCTATGGCCCCACTCGGGGCACCCCGCCGACCTGTGACCCCCGGACTGGACCCCCTGGCTCTGATCACCGGAAAATTCTACTTCTTCTGCCTCCTCCTCACCGCGGTCAGTACATGGGGCTCCGATCTATCTATACACCTGCCTGAACGGGTCCTGAATGGGTGGGGGGTCCTGGCTCACACTGGCTGGGTGGGAGACGGTGGTCTGGACAAATGATACAAAGTACTGGGGGCTTCACAGCCCCTTCCATGGTCACAGATAGACCCCTGTCCATCCATCCCTCCTGATCACACATTGTACCCTATACTTCTCAAAGGGGGAGGGGCTGTGACTGTTCATAGTAGACTCCATTCACTGACTGCATGATAGATATGGTCTATATATATATATATAATACTGTGTGTATGGATAGATATGGTCTATATATATATAATACTGTGTGTATGGATAGATATGGTCTATATATATATAATAATACTGTATGTACGGATAGATATGGTCTATATATATATATATATAATACTGTGTGTATGGATAGATATGGTCTATATATATATAATACTGTATGTATGGATAGATATGGATAGATATAATACTGTGTGTATGGATAGATATGGTCTATATATATATAATAATACTGTATGTATGGATAGATATGGTCTATATATATATATATATAATACTGTGTGTATGGATAGATATGGTCTATATATATATATAATACTGTGTGTATGGATAGATATGGTCTATATATATATATATATAAATACTGTGTGTATGGATAGATATGGTCTATATATATATATAATACTGTGTGTATGGATAGATATGGTCTATATATATATAATACTGTATGTATGGATAGATATGGTCTATATATATATATAATACTGTGTGTATGGATAGATATGGTATATATATATATATATAATACTGTGTGTATGGATAGATATGGTCTATATATATATATAATACTGTGTGTATGGATAGATATGGTCTATATATATATATAATACTGTATGTATGGATAGATATGGTCTATATATATATATACTGTGTGTATGGATAGATATGGTCTATATATATATATAATACTGTGTGTATGGATAGATATGGTCTATATATATATATATAATACTGTATGTATGGATAGATATGGTCTATATATATATAATACTGTGTATGGATAGATATGGTCTATATATATATATATAATACTGTATGTATGGATAGATATGGTCTATATATATATATATTTAATATATGGATAGATATGGTCTATATATATATATATAAATACTGTATGTATGGATAGATAAGGTCTATATATATATAATATATATAGATATATATATATATATATATATATATATATATATATATAATACTGTATGTATGGATAGATATGGTCTATATATATATATATACTACTGTGTATGAATAGATATGGTCTATATAAATATATAATACTTTATGTATGGATAGATATGGTCTATATATATATATATATATATACTGTATGTATGGATAGATATGGTCTATATATATATATATATAATAATATATACTTTATGTATGGATAGATATGGTCTATATATAATACTATATATGGATATATATATATATATAATACTGTATGTATGGATATCTATGGTCTATATATATAATACTGTATGTATAGAAATATATGGTCTATATATATAATACTGTATGTATAGAAATTTGTGGTCTATATGTGGTCTATATATAATACTGTATGTATGGATATATATGGTCTATATATAATACTGTATGTATAGAAATATATGGTCTATATATATACTGTGTGGATGGATATATATGGTCTATATATAATACTGTATGTACGGATATATGGTCTATATATATAATACTGTATGTACAGATATATGGTCTATATATATAATACTGTATGTATGGTCTATATAATACTGTATGTACTATATGGTCTATATAATACTGTTTGCATGGATATATATGGTCTCTATATATAAATACTGTATGTATGGAAATATGGTCTATATATAATATTATATGCATGGATATATATGGTCTATATATAATACTGTATGCATGGATATATATGGTCTATATAATACTGTATGCATGGATATATATGGTCTATATAATACTGTATGCATGGATATATATGGTCTATATAATACTGTATGCATGGATGTATATGGTCTATATATAATACTGTATGCATGGATATATATGGTCTATATATAATACTGTATGACATGGATATATATGGTCTATATATAATACTGTACACATGGATGTATATGGTCTATATAATACTGTATGCATGGATATATATGGTCTATATATAATACTGTAGACATGGATATATATGGTCTATATACTGTATACTGTGTATGGATATATATGGTCTATATATAATACTGTATGCATGGATATATATGGTCTATATATAATACTGTATGCATGGATATATATGGTCTATATATAATACTGTATGCATGGATATATATGGTCTATATATAATACTGTATGCATGGATATATATGGTCTATATATAATACTGTATGCATGGATATATATGGTCTATATAATACTGTATGCATGGATATATATATGGTCTGTATATATAATACTGTATGCATGGATATATATGGTCTATATATAATACTGTACACATGGATGTATATGGTCTATATATAATACTGTATGCATGGATGTATATGGTCTACATATAATACTGTAGACATGGATATATATGGTGTATATATAATGCTGTGTGGATGGATATATGGTCTACACATTTCCTCACCTGTGAGCAATATGAGGTGAGATTGAAGTCTTGGTTGGTCAAATTTCAAAATCAATGGTGGCACCATTGGATTACAAAACACACAAAATCTCTGATTTCTAAAGAACATTTGTTCAGAATTCAACCCATGTATGGCCTGCATTAGAGATCCTGCCAGTAACAGTACTTTTGTTTGCAGGCTGACAACACTAAGCCTCTGCTTCACAATTAGCAGCAGTGTTGTCAACTTGCCAGGTTTGCTCCAAGGTGGCCTTTGTGCTGCCTGTCTGATAATCCAACGGGCAACTGAAGGAGCACACACAGCAGGCTGACAACGATGCCGCTAATTGTGAGACAGTGGCATAGTGTTGTCAGCCTGCACCAGGAAGTGCTGTTACTGGCAGGTAAGAAATTTCACAATAGGAAAAATGTTTTGCTGAAAGCCCGCCTCCAGGAATTGAATAAAAAAACAACAGCCTCGCAGTAGAGGTGGGTGAGAGCAGAGTGTGGTCACTGAGCTCTTTCTTGTGGAATGCGGTCTGTAAAAGCTGCAACTGACTATACAAACACTGTTGTGACTATACAAACACTTCCATCTCCCTCATGACAACTAGACATTCTGGTTTAGGTTGGTTTTAGAGCTGGCTGGGCACATTTTTCTCTCATGACCTCGGTACTGAGAATGAGAGGGCAGGGCGGTGTTCAGGAAGTCGTTTAGTGTGAGGTGACGTTATCATCGTACGGCACATTCATTGCCAGCCTACCTTCATTTCTGTGTCATGTGACATCAGATTTCACTCCGGCCCTGCACTTTGACATTTGGAACCCCAGGTTCTCCTTCTGAGATAATATAGGAAGTGGAAAGTCTTTTCTTGTTTTCATGTTGTGTGACTACAATTGCTGCTTACAAACATATTATGTGGATACTATGTAAGGGAACGTTGCACATACCAGGCCTAATGTCCTTCCATAGTGACAGGGGTTACACACCTTCACACATATACAGTGAATGTGGCCGACTTTAGTCAGGATTGTTGTGCTAGTTTTATGATGGCAAATCTAAGGGTCAAAGGCGTGCCACCAATGAGGCAAAAAAAGAGGCAACGACCTTAGGTGGCACTTGGGGGGACACACCATCCTCACCTCAGCAACATGGCACTGCTTAAACAAGGCAGCATTACTGAGCTGGGTGATAGGATGCTGTCGACTCGACATCTCAGCACTATTGGTTGTTATGAAGCAGGTGGCCGCATGCACCATAACCACCATTGACAATGTACATCCCAGTGTCTTTGCAGCCAGTGATGCTGTGTAGCCCAGCCGCCTGCCCCCTAGTAACCAATTATGCACAGCCGCACATTGGTTGCTGTGCCAGCATCCTAGCAACCAAAGCGGTGGCGAAAATGGAACGGGGACTCCCACCAGAGACTTTTTGAATGTTTGGAGGGGGGAAAAACAACGTCCTCAGGTGGCTTTTAATCTAAACTATATTGCCAAGAGTATTGGGCCTGCCTTTACACACACATGATCTTTAATGGCATCCCAGTCTTAGTCCGTAGGGTTCAATATTGAGTTGGCCCACCCTTTGCAGCTATAACAGCTTCAACTCTTCTGGGAAGGCTGTCCTCAAGGTTCAGGAGTGTGTCTATGGGAATGTTTGACCATTCTTCCAGAAGTGCATTTGTGAGGTCAGACAACGCACCCTCAGCGCAGTGATGTGAAGAGTCCCATAGGTTTTAAAGGGAAATATTTTGATTTGCGTTTTTAGCAAGGTAAAAATCAGTGTGAAAGGGCCCTAAATGGCTTGTAGAAGACTTCTGAAGTATTTTTACTTAGAAGTAAGTGTAGGAGCCTCCCCACACACGTTAAACAGCATGGATGGACGAATCTGCAGTGTGGTTGTCGGCAATGTGGGTGTCAGCTGTATTCTGGCATAGTGCCTGCATCTGAAGTCCATATATACTGTAAAGCAGGCCATACATGGGTCGAATTCCGAACGATTTTTCGATCTAAAATCGAAAACATCATTAGTTCTGTAATCCAATGTTGCCATTAATGATTTCAAAAATCAGTCGTTTTTCACAAATTTTCCAGCATGCCTGATAAACAAAATGGGGAGGAACCACGAAAATCGGCCAGTGCCATTGCTCCACTAACAGAGCGAAAACTGGGCGATTATTTTTATGTCCGATTTTCAAACGAAAAATCGTTCGAAAATCAACCCATGTATGGCCAGCCTAAACCTCTCTGTTACGTTTTGTAAGTTATGAGGTCGTTTAAAAGTGGAACTGCAGCCAGAACCCATTTTGGA